GGGATGGCTGAAGCGTTTTTGAGGAAATAACCTCCATGTTAATAACATGTTCTTTCTGGTGTGTTGTTGTTCTCCCTTCTTAAAAGCTCTGCACAATACAGTAAAATATTTGATGGGATACGCTGCAATGTAAAACCACTGTGGCCATATTACCCAGCAGTTACAAGCTTGCAGCTACTGTTACACAATAAAAAGGATTCCAACTACACATAGCATTCTGGGACGTCTGCTCATGGCACATTTTGGTGAACAACAGACTCCTGAGCTGTGTAGATGTGAACTAGGCTCAAACATAAACCGCTAAATCTCTTCAGCTGTTACTCCTGCATCCTGATACAGATGTGTGTTAATAATAATAATAATAATAATAATAAAATTTATTTATAAAGCACCTACCAGCTCAAAGAGCACTAGGTGCTACATCAGGAAAAAAGCAAAAAATAAATAAAATAACAATTTAAAACCAACATCATCAAAATATCAATATCAGAATAAAAATCAACTAAATAGACATATGACAAGCACATACATTCATCGATCAATATCGTAATCCCTGTCCAGGGTGAGACCCCTCAGATAAGCTAGAGTAAAGCTGCAAAAATAGAAGCCAAGTGGAGCCTTAGAGAGATTAAGCATAAAAAGCTTGTTTAAAAAAATATGTTTTCAGTGCCGATTTAAACGCCAAATGCAGTAGTGCCATTGGAAATCTATAATGAAGTTTGCCATTCACATGGGCCATAGGTAAAATTACCATCTACCAGTATTTGTGGTTTATGAGGGCAGTATAGAAAAGACGGGCCAAAAACTAATTTTTTCTATAGGAGGGTGATGAATGAACATGCTGTAATGAGGCTAAAAGATGATTTCATGGGGCAAAACTGGGAACCAGTTTACAGGGAGGATGACTTAGATAAAGCATATGAGCAATTTCTAAACATATTTAAGAAAGTGTATGACAGGAATTGTCCTCGTAAGCAGTATAAAAATTAAAGGAATTACAGTGGGAGACCGTGGATGAGCATGGGATTACAGAATGCATGCAAAAAAAGAATGCATTATATAAGCAATTCATAAAGGACAGATCAAAGAAGGCGGAAGAAAAATATAAGTCATATAAGAACAAATTAACTGAGATTTTGAGGAGATGTAAGAAACTATATTACTCTAAAATATTAGAGGATAATAAAAATAACATGAGAGGTATGTGGAATATATTAAATAAATTGATTAGAAACAGTTCTAGAAAGAGTAACTACCCTCAATATTTTATGGATAATGATACACAGGTCAATATATTGGAGGATGTAGTTGAAAAGTTTAATAGGTTCTTTGTGAATGTTGGTCCTGGTTTAGCAAAAAGTATCTGTACAGATGATATATTCGTCACTATAAATAGTGATGGTATCACCATGACAACTGTCAAATGGGTAATTGACCATTAACCCATATTTTTAACATGTCGTTTCGACTTGGGCAGTTCCCCAATAATATGAAAATAGCAAAGGTTATTCCACTGTATAAATCTGGTGATAAGCACAACCTCACAAATTATAGACCGGTTTCTCTGTTGTCACAATTTTCAAAAATTCTGGAAAAACTCTTTAATAACAGATTAGACACATTTATTGA